CGACGCGGGGCTCGAACTCACGGACCGCGAGATCGTGACCTGGCTGAAGTCGGACGCTTAACCGACTGTGCCACCCAGGCGCCCCAAAATTGAACTCTTTAAAAAGACACTATCATTTCATTGTGTTCATGTATACAGTTCACCCTTGAGTAACATGGATTTGAATTGTGTGGGTCCACTTCTACGTGGATTTTTTTTGATAAACACAGTACTGCAAATGTATTTTCTCTTCCTTATGATTTTTTAATAACATTTTCTTTTCTCTAGCTTTAAGAATATAGTGTGTGATACATAGGACATACAAAAGATGTGTTAATTGTTCATTATCGGTAAAGGTTCTGGTCAACAGCAGGCTATTAGTAGTTAAGTTTTGGGGGAGTCAAAAGTTATATGGAGATTTTGGTGCTGGAGGGGGGGTCGGTGTCCCGGCCCCTGCATTGTTCAAGGTTCAACTGTACACACACACACACACACACACACACACACACACGAAGTTATGGAAGCAATGGTAACTCACTTAACTCATAAAACCGGTATAGGAATTTGTTTTATTATTTTTAATTTTTTTTTAGAGAGATTGGGGCAAAGGGAAAGAAAGAAGGAATCTTTCTTTTTTAATGTTTATTTATTTTTGAGAGAAAGAGAGAGAGAGAGAGACAGCCTGCATATGTGCTCGGGGGAGGGGCAGAGAGAGAGGGAGACAGAGGATCCGAGGTGGGCTCTGTGCTGACAGCAGAGAGCCTGATGTGGGACTCAAACTCATGAACCATGAGATCATGACCTGAGCTGAAGTCAAGAGTCATTTGCTCAACTGACTGAGCCACTCAGGCACCCCATGTATAGGAATTTTAGAAGGTTAAAATTTTTACCCCCTGGTTTTGTCCAACCAAAAATACTGTGCTGACATTAAAAAAATTTTTTTATTTGTATTTATTTTTGAGAAAGAGAGAGAGAGAGGGAGGGAGAGAGAGAACGTGAACAGGGAAGGGGTAGAAAGAGAGGGAGACAGAGAATCCAAAGCAGGCTCTGTGCGGTCAACGCAAAGCCCAACATGGGATTCGAACCCATGAACCATGAGATCATGACCTGAGTCAAAGTCAGATGCTCAACTGACTGAGTCACCCAGGCGCCCCTATGCCGACGTTTTTAAATGGTAAACTAATTTTTAAAGACTCTTGGGGTGCCTGGGTGGCTCAGTCGGTTAAGTGTCCGACTTCAGCTCAGGTCACGATCTTGCAGTCTGTGGGTTCGAGCCCCACGTCGGGCTCTGGGCTAATGGCTCAGAGCCTGGAGCCTGTTTCCGATTCTGTGTCTCCCTCTCTCTCTGCCCCTCCCCCATTCATGCTGTCTCTCTCTGTCTCAAAAATAAATAAACGTAAAAAAAAAAATTTAAAAAAAGAAAAGACTCTTGATCCCATCAAAATCTCTTTATCCTGGGGTTAAGTTCTTTTCTTCTTTCCTCACAACTAGAGTAATGGAGGCTATTAGGACACTTTTCAGTGTCCACAAAAAGAGACATCATTGAGTCACATTTTCTTTTCTTCTTTTAGACTTTGACAGTTTGTCTGGGCTGGATATTCCTAGAGTGTACACATAACGACAGGATGGTTTTTTGATCAGTTAATCTTTAAAGTTTCCCCAGTGTGTAAGAGAGAGGGAGAGAAACCAAAAAATTAACAGGGAGCCAGCTTCAGACAAATACGAAATTATCTTTGTAAAAGGCTAATTATGTTCCTCCCTTTTTTATTTTTTTTTTATTTTTTTTTCAACGTTTATTTATTTT